GCTGGGGGGTGCGGTGCCCGGCGGGGGCTCCTCTCCCGGGCGGCGGCGAAGGGCGAGTTTCTCCCCTCTGCGCGCGGAGCGAAGCCGGCTCCTTGACATCCCCGTGCTGGCGGCAAAGGGGCTTTTCGGAACGGTGCTTTAATTAAATATGGCTCTTCAACTTTTTCCGCCACGAATGACGTCCGTCCTCTCCCCACACCAGGCCCTAGAGAGAGGGGAAAAACTTAAGGCCGAAAGAATTTAGGATGCACCCCCAGGGGTTGTTATGCCAAGGTGAGAAGTGCTGGTTAAAGTCCTTTAGATGTCATGGTCGACGAGCGTAACCAAACAAGATTGACGGAGAGGGGTGATACACTTACCTGTAGCAAGGAAAATAAGCTTTTGGGTTCCTCAGAGGGAGATTCTGCTTTACTATAAGGGAGCCTAAGCATTGGGTACGTTAATTATGGCTTCAGATATGTGTGAAGAGGAAAAGGGGTGTTGAGCGGTTAACTTTGAGGCTCGGTTTAATCTTGCAACGTGTAATAATGCCACGTACAGGAGCTTTATTAAAGGTGTCTAATACGGTAGATTATGAGTTAAGCTTTGCTCTGGGAGACTTAAATAGTCCTAGGCCATTTGTTTACTTGGGTTTGCTGAAGATCACTTGCAAAAGTTCAACTTGGAAGCAAGCCAGGAAAACATAGATAAATAAACAAGTGAGAAACCTTTAGGCTGAGAACTACTTTGTGCCCTTATTTTTGAATAGTCCCTTCTGTGCTCTTAATTTCTTCCTTTTGCTATACCGAAGAAAAGCAAATAAACAAAAACAACAACAACAACAAAAAACACCAGAAAAAACAACCAAACAACCTGTTAGGAGAGAAATAATGTTTATTAACTGGAGTTACTTAAAAAGGGAGTTAGTGTTAATTAGTTTTTTTTATAATATGTTGGCCCCCTCTTTGCACACCTAGCACACACCTTGCACCTTGAGATTAGTCTTTTAACGTGCTTGAAGTTATGCCAACGAAGTTTTTGGTAACATTTCCTGTTAACATTGGGAGCTTTAAGATAAACTTTAGGAACGTTGACCACTTCATGTTTGATTTTTTTTGTTGTTGTTGTATTAGAGAAAAGTAATTTGAGATTTTTTTTATATATTAAAATGGGTGATGAAGAGATTTAGGAATTTCATGTGGTCTAATGTGAAGACTAAGTATTGGTGCAATGAGGAGATCCAGTTGATTCTGAGGAACCACCTTCTATCTCCAAACCTCGTATTTCTTTTTTTGATAAATTTGTAATCAGGCTCCTGCCCTTTGTGCTTTGTGTAGGGACAAATGGGGATCTTTCAAAAGTGTACTTAACTTCAGATGTTTTACTGTGTTTTTGCAATGCTCAGAGTCTATTACAAGAAACGGTAATGTTCCATCATAAAAGTTTGGGGTTTGTCAGATGAAAGTAATTTTAATGTATTTTGACAAGTTCTCTTGCACCTGGAACGGTTCAGAATTTAATTGTCTTCATTATGGGGTAGTTTACATAACTAGTTTTTGATGAATTATTGTAACGAGAGGATAAAAGTCCATGTCCTGTGAAATTTTGGAATATGCTAGCAGCTTTTTTTCCCTAATGGCAAGAGGTGTACAGTGCAGGGCTTTCCTTACCTGTTAGGAAGAAAACAATAATATATGTGTTTGGGGTTTTTTTAAGCTTTCTTAGGAATTCCTGAAAAGGAAAGTTTCTTTGGATAGAAAAACAACATCTTGCGTGAGGTCTTTGATACTCCTTGCATGGTATCATCTCTTGTTTATCTTAACTAGTATTCACCTGTAGTATCCCTTCCTGTCACACTTCAGTTTGCTCCTGAGTGTTTGAAATGTGGGGCCTGTGGGTATGGAATAATGATTCAGCTGATCTGGAAATTGACCATACCAGTTTTACCTTGTGTTTTTTTCTAAATATGCTTCAGTCCTTATTGATGTAAATTATTTTTTGATCCATACTGAACAGTGAATACCAAGCTTAAGAGCAGGTTGGTTTTTTTAAAAAAAATTAGTGATAAGGTTAAAAACAGGATTAGAGTTTCCGATTGAACAGTAGGAAGCTACTGTTCTAACACACAACAGCCTTTGTTCACCCATGAACTGTCATACAAATGGCACCCAGAAAATGTCACATTTAGCTTCTGAACTAACCTAGGAATTGTGAAGGCATTTGTGTTATTTGCCCCACGTTTTCCAAAAGTTGGTAGTGTAGAATACAGAGATGTCACCAGCTGAAGCATGCAAAAGCTGTCTGTGTTGTGCAGCAAATGAGTTTGAACACATTTGAGTTTCCTTAGACCAGAATCTGATTATTTAAAGTTTTCTGTAGGATCAAAGAGTCTTAAGTGCTTGAAATGTTTGAGTAGATTTAGCTTTCTTGTGCTAGCCAGAATAAAGCAGTGGGGTTCTGGAATCCCTGCAGTGGTTCCATGTGTTCAGTTAAATTAGCTTGTGTCCTTCAAGTCTATTCTGGTCATAGGAGATATACAAGGAAATTATATTTTGGAAAGTCTGGGAAGCCTAGGAGATGAGCATGCAACTTTGGGAGTGAGGTGGGTGGGACATGGACATGGTTTTTTAAAAAAAATTGCACTTGGTGTTTGAAAGACTCTGGAGAGAGGTCAGACTAAACACACTGTGCCATAGCATTTCTTCTTAGAAAGTTGTAAGAAGGGGGAGAAGGTGTTAAAGTATGCCAACAAGAACACTTACCTCGTGTGGTTACCATGTTTTATTATACTTCGCTATATTCCACCTTGTAGGTGTAAATATTCCAGAAATGTGAAATTTTTCAGTTCTCTAATATCTAAAAAAAATCTGAAGTTTTCTGTAGCAAGAACTTCTTTTTTAGACTAGTTGGGAAGTTTCTGTGCCAAATGCTCTGGTTTTAGTTGTATTGTATTCTCCCTCACTGATTAAAAAGTAGCATAGCTTTTCTTATGTAATCTTTCCTGTAATTAATGTAGTTTTTACTAATCTTTTATTTTAAGGAGGTAAAGCAGGAGAACAATAATATATGTGCTTTTTTGGAGATGAAAAGGTGGAGAGCTGAGCTACCTACTTGATAATGCCACATAAGCTTCTTGGAGGAGAAACAGAATTGTGAATGTACTGCAACAAAAATGAGTCTTTCTTTGCAGGAGCCTAAAATAGTCAAGTCAGAAATATAAAATAAAAAAGGCAACTGTTTTGAGTGTTCAGAAAACTTGAATTATTCTCTTCCCTACTGCTTCATTGATGTGGTCTTGGTGAAGTCAAATATGGGCTGCTACAAAATGTGGAAAAGTAATTAAAATATAGGTAGTTATCAGGCATCTTCAGAAATCTCACTGAGTGTCTTTCATATTGTCTTGGCAAATGTCATTTATATTGTTTTCATTACACAGAAGGAAAGCAGAGTAAGATGTTTTGCAATAAATAGTGCATTGGAAAAAACAGTGTATTTCTAAGAAGAGAATTTCTGGTAAGAGATCAGACCAGGTTGCTTGACTTTCCTGTTTCTAACCTATTATTTAATACTTAAGGACATGCAATTGGCAATGTAATTGAATACATTTTTGTCCAGAAAATATCCCTTCAGACTCCTTTTATTATATGCACAAGCTGTAACTTGTGTGTGGCAGGGATTTCTACATCCTTCACCTGTCTTAATTTTTTTTCTATGTGCATTTTTTCCCTGGTTTTGGGGGATATTACATAACAAATCAAGATTTCTATTAAAAATAAAATATTGCATGTTTTTCGTGCCAGTTTTTCCATATATTTCTTCTGCTGTTCCATACTGCTGTTCTACTAACTTAAGAACCAGGAAGATAGTTGACTGAAAAAATAGGCTGTGGCTTATACAAGATCATGTTAAGTGTCTCGTAACTTTGAATGTACTTGTTGGGAAGAAGGTGCTTCTTACAAAATGATAATTTTGAACAGTTGTATGTGCTAATCTTTATAAAGTGGCATGTGTTCTTGATCCAGAAGAGGAACCACTAGATGCTACTAGATTGTTATTGGGTTTTTAGGTTTTTCAGGTTTCTTAGCTTTCTTGTTTTTATTTCCTTCTCTCTTTTGTTGCATTGACTCTATGTTTTTTCTGTGCTCTCTGCTTTCTATATTTTGTAATGAGCAAATCTGTGTTGCTAATAGCATTCCCAGTAATCTTTTTGGATTTATTTCTTTTTTAAAGACACATTGCTATGGCAGAATAGAAACTTGAGTGAAACCAAACTGTATCCCTTGCTTACATGCCAAATGCATCATATCATGGAATGTATGATGTCTTTTTCTTAAAACAGGTAGGCTTTCTGCATGTTTACGTTTGGCAATAGAATGTTAATTTTGTTCTGTATTTGGAACCAAACTTGGACCCTAGAAAAGCAGTGTAAATTTTATTATTTTTTTTTTAGTTTATGATCAATTGTAGGACTTAAACAGGAATAATGTTGGCATACTTTGCTCTCTTTGATGTTTATCCCTTTCAATAATTGTTATCTTTATCTTCAGTCCAGCTTTATTTTGCTGAGCAAGCAAGACTAGTTTTATACAACAGGCTCTTTGGTCGTATCAGTGGCTCCTTTCTGTAGTTCTTATAGTTAGAACTTCATTTTCTTGAAAAACGAAATTCAGAATTGTGTGTGGTATTCCAGACGAGTTGTTGCTCACATGCAACTATGTTCATGTTTTCCTGTTTCTGTAGCAAAGAAATCCTTGATGGGCATTAACCTCTTTCTCTGTGCACCCCCCCTCTTGTTTGTTTTTTTTCCCCCCCCTGCAGAGCTGAATGATTTTCTAGCTAACCTCAGAATGACTGTACTCCCAACTAACAAGCCCTGACTACATGCAAGTAGCTTTCATTGGTCCCTACATGCAGGGATCTTGCATTTTATATGATGTAATTTCATGTGGTTTCTAGTATGCCCTTTCTCAAGACTGGTCACTTGTGTTTGTGTCTTTTCCCCTCTTGTTGCAGTGCTTTCCACTTCTGTCTCATCTAAATCTACCTATCCTTTTCTGGCAGCATTGTTTAAAAAAAAAAAGTTCGGTATACTTTTTGGAGGAACTAGTAGTTATTTTCTAGTCCAATTCCTCTATATTAGCAGCATCATACTGTATTGTTCTAGAAAGTTTTTTTCTCATTTTAAGATTACTTTCTTACCATATTTATTTAACCTGAGATGATTTACTGAATCCAGCTTGCATCTTGTTTGACTTGACTTTTTCCAAGGAAAGAACTGATTCATTTTTTAGGTATTGAATTAGTCCAGCATGTCCAAAATCTGGCAACACTTACTGCATTTTTATCCTCTTTTCCTTTTTAATACAATGAAATTCAGACCAATGAGCTGGATTAATTATTTTCCTCTTTAAGTGTTAATTACTGTAATTTTTTATCACATGATAGCAAATTTCATTTTATTTTATTAAGGTGCTCTTTGGAATTTTTTGGGACAGCTCTAATATTTTGTTGTTGACAATTTTCAGTTCTCCAGCTTCAGTGTATTAGCCTGCCCAAGAAGATCCCATCAGTTTTGTGCCCCAACTGTTCCGCACCCAAATGTAATTTCCTTGGATGAGTTCCTGGAATTACTGAAAATGCCAAAAGCATTTTAACACTCAGTATTAAGGTATAGCTATGACAACGTACACAAATTAACTCTCAAAGGATATTATTGAATGTGTGTTATTTTCAGGAACTTTTCACCTGCCAAAGGTATGAGTGAAAATGTTCCTTGTATCAGTGAAGGAAAGGAAGGAAGCCAGGGGAAGGAAAATACTTTTTAAGATATTTCTGTAAAGTCAGGATACTTTTCAAAGCCGTCAGCAATGTAAGTGGAGGATGTTTTTTGCTCAGTTCTCTACAGACAACTGAATAGGGTTGGTTATGTATGTGTAGTTTGATTAGGTGTATATAACAAAGTACCTTCTTCTGAAAGCTGGGAGAAACATTCAGTCTGTTTCATATTCCTACTTCTGAAGAGATGCAGAGATCTCTAAAACTTTCTCCAAATCCTGCTGCTCCATCCTCAACTTGCTTGCATTTTTTGCTACGCTTTTACCAGAAACACAGGAGGGAGGGTAAGGGGGGAGTGGTCTCTAGTCTGTTTTTTCACACTTCCTGCTCTGCATTCCTTCTCTGGTGAGTAATAGCAGTTTATGCCTCTGCTGTTGTTCATTACCTTTCAAAGCAACAACATGGATTGTCAGAATTCTTAACAGTCTCTTTGTTGCCCCTGACTCTCTATCAGCTGGGAAACCATCCAGAATCACTGGTGTTGTTTTCCTGAATCTGCGGGCACACAACAGTCGTTCATTGATTTGTACTGGGTTAATGTTTGGAGAGTAGCTGTTGATGTGAAAGGAATCTTAGGACAGCAGGTGGGTGGGTGGAATTTCATTTCCAAAGTTTTCTTTTCCACAGCAGAGGTGCAAGTCAGCGTAAAGAAATATATGTTGTATCTGAACATACCAGATTTGTTTTGCAAATAAGTGCTTCTGCTTCAATTTCTCTAACTCTTTAATTTCATTTACATGGCAAAATATGTACGCAGCAAGCTGGATGCCAGTTTATAAGCTGTGGAAGCTCCTGGTTAACCTGCCATGTGAATACCTACTGTCTGAAGTAGATTACCTAGGTGACATTGGTAGCTGTATCAGGATCTGTCAATCTTCTGGGAAGGACAGGTTGGATGCCAGGTATTTAGTGCACACTGATTAGACTGATCCCTGAGCCTTCTCTTCTCCAGCCTAAACAACTCCAGTTTTCTCAGCCTCATATGACAAGTGCTTCAGTCCTTGTGGCCTTTTGTAGGACTCCATGCAGTCTAACATGGATTGGGGAGCCCAGAGCTGGACATAGCACTCCAGATGAATACCACTAGTGCTGAGTGGAGGGGCAAGATCACCTGCCTCAACCTGCTGGCTGGGGTACTGTTGGCCACCTTTGCTGCAAGGGGGCATTGCCAGCTCATGTTCAACATGGTGTGCACCAGCACCCCCAGGTCTCTCTGCAAAGCTGCTTCCCAGCTGCCTCGGCCTCCAGCCAGTACTGGTACCTGGGGTAATTCTTCCCAAGGTGCAGGGATTTGCATTTCCTTTTGATGAACTTAGGTTTCCTGTTGGCCCCTTTCTCCAGCTTGTCAGGGTCTCTCCAAATGGCAGGACAACCACTCCTCTAGTCACAGCATAATGAACTATTTTATGACTGTATATTTTTTTTCTCTAGACGTGCTGTTCAGTCTCTGCAGTGTGGCAAAAACTTGTTTTCGTTATCTCCCCAGTACCATTGCATGGGTGGTGTATATAGTGATAAAAGTCACAAGGGTCTTGAAATAATTCTGACTTTATAGTAAAGGGTTTTTTGAAAGCTTAGGGGAACAACTTTTTTACAAAGTAAGTTAAGATGTAGAGATTCTTGAATATGGTAGGGATCTCCTGGCAGCAAAAATAATGTTCAAAACTTAATGGTCATCACCATTGCATGCTGTATTTAATAATTTTCTGAAGGGTGTTTTTGATAACATGAAGACTAATAACTAAAGCTGACTAATGAAATTGTACCACTGACTGAATTGCTGCTTCTGTTTTTCAGACACTCGTATTGCAAAAGCTGCTGTTGAAAATAAACAATTTTTTTTTATAAGAAGAGAATGGGTAAGTTCATTGTCTTTAGAGGTTGCTTATTTTGTTTGCTATTATGTGAAACATTTTCTCTTAAATCAGTAGAGAAGGTGGATT